CAATATCAATATGAAATTACACTGGGATATCTCCACTAGGATATGAATTTTCTTCTCTTACTCAAAACTGGAGTGAAATGGGTTATTTCAACTTTCACCAGGTTTTTGGAACTTATTTGAAAAACAACGAGATTCAGCACGATCAATTACCTATGTTTCCATTCGTTTTCGGGATTACGACGTCTAACGAAATATCGAGCCATGAACTCTCACGAAACGCGATGTCAGATTTGAACCACAAAAAATTAAGAGTTCGCTTAGTCCTCATTGTGGAGATGACACTACGGACTATCTGCCTATAGAAAAAAACTGATAGATTGCTATCTTAGTTTCTAGAGATCCTTATGGAAAGTCCATGGAGACCCAATGAAAGTTTTCTTTCCTGTCATAGTTCGATGTGCCTCGGGCTCGGTCACAAGTCGACGAAAATCCTTTCTCGATATCTCTTCGCATTGCCGAATTATTCGAAGAGGCGCAGGGTACCTTATTTTTTGAATCCGATAATAGTAACTTCAAGAATCGAATTGCAGATTATTTACGAGTGTCTTGTCTAAAGCTCAAGAAACTGAATATGATATATTTTAGGTTCGGCATTTAAAATTGATAGTTTTACGTATAACGAGGATGAAAAGATTTGGTTCATGAATACAACAGCGACCGATGAAGGTTCAGCATTAGCAAAAGAATATACTGAATATCAAAAGAAAAAAATGGCTGATGCAAACATTATATTAATGTTTGGACATTTACTTGCTGATATGGGTGAATTTGAAAAATCTCAAAAATATTTTGAAAATGTTTTGCGCGGTCGTCCAAATGATGAAGAAGTTGCATGTGTCTATAATAATATCGGTCGTGCTCTTCGTCTAAAAGGTGAATATCAACGTGCATTAGAAAATTATCAAAAATCTTATAACTTACATATGGCTGCAAAACATCCCCGTTTAGTTAGTGCTAGTAAAACATTAAACGGTATCGGAATTACTTACAGTCAAATGAAACAATATGATCAAGCTTGGCTATATTTTACACGAGCATTAAAAATGTATGAAAAATGTGTGCCAGAAAAACATATGGATGTAGCCGCTACATTGGGTAATTTAGGCACAGTCTATTTAAATCGACATGAAAATGAGAAAGGAATTGAATGTTTGAAACGAGCTCAAAAAATAAATTTATCATTATTACCTCACAATCATCCAAATGTAGCAACGGCAATGGCCAATATTGGAAGTTTTCATTTGAGAAATAAAGAATATGATAAGGCATTGGATTGTTATACGAAAGCTCAAAAACTAGCTCAAACAACATTACCTGCAAATCATCCTCTTCTATTAAATATACAAAAATGTCTACAGTTTATCCATAATAAAAACAAAATTATAATAACTTACTTTTAGACAAGAACAGGATCGACTAATAACATTCTTGCTTCTACAATATTTTTTGATGGTGATTTCTTGTACAAACAGTTCTTTATTATCAATCAAATCTCAAATGATTTCACCGGAATCTAAGCTTTTTTGTCTTGTACATCTCTGTAATGACTTCTCAAAAAAGACAGCTGGTTTTCCGAGCTCTGGAAGGTTTTCTTTTAAATTTTGTGTTCGCATCTTGGAAGCAGCTTGGTGTATTTTCCTTGTATAGATAAGTGTGCTGTTGCTCAGCGTATATGTTGCGGTACATGTACTATTTATTGACCAAACTTGAGTCAAGCGGAAATGTATAGAATTTTATAGAATTCTAGATGGTGAACTATGTCTGTACTCATGTAGAATTCTACCTTACTACACATATACAATATATTAGCCGAGTGCCTACGTTAGTACAGACATAGTTCATCACCTAGAATTCTATACATTTCCGCTTGACTCAAGCTTGGTCAATAAATAGTATATGTATGCTAGCGTAGAATTCTATAGAATTCTACGTTAGTAGAGATACATTTATTACTGACCAAGTTTGAGCCAACCGGAAATGTGTAGAATTCTATGGAATTCTACATACTACGAACATAGTTGATTAGTGACTCACTATCATGCACGCCAGCCCCGTCCCGCCGCCCCCCTCCCCACTCCTAGTCAGTAATAGAATTGTATACATTTCTGCTTGATTCAAACTTGGTCAATAATAAATATATCTGTACTAACTTAGAATTCTCTAGAATTCTATACATTTCCTAGATTTCTGTTTTGAGAATAACTCGAACTTATCATGTTTGAGCTGTGAAAAAGTTGTTGTAGAATTCATAGGGATAATGTAGAATTCTGTAGAATGTCTAAAATGTAGGAATTGTGCCATTGCTGCCTGGTCGACCATCTCATCAGAGCCTTTGTCACCCGGTTTGCAGCTACTTGCTCAAGTGACCTCGCTGAGAGCTGAGCAAGAAGCCGATGCTGTGCAAGGTTTTCTCAAACGATCATTTTTCGTTCATTATTCATTCGTGTGCTTTGGGTTAACTTTTAGCTATTACCGGTGTGCATACTGCTCAACGATTCAATATTTT